TGTGTGTGTGTGTGTGTGTGTGTGTGTGAAAGGGGGGGGTGTATGTGTGTGAGTGTGTGTTTGTGTGTGTAACATTGAAACAGTGTAGGGCTAGATCTACCTATACTAAGATCGGATGAAAATAACAAAGACAGGTTTTTCACCGTTCAAATTGTAAAGCCTAAAAAAGTAAAATAAAACAACACAAAAGAATGACAAAATGGACGAACGGTACCGTTAGAAAGAGGGTCTTCAACGAGAACTTTATTCTCATTGCTTTTCGAGATTTTTTTTACAAAGGAAAGAGCTCGATCTTTCAAAATAGAACAATGATGATAAATAATAATCGTTAATTTCACTTATAATCTTATTATTATAGAGCATTTCCATTTTTTTAAATGTGCCCAATACGCCTGACAATAGGATAATAGCATTACTCTCTCTCTCTCTCTCTCTCTCCCTCCCCCTCTTTCTCTCTCCCTCCCTCCCTCCCTCTCCCTCTCCCTCTCTCTCTCTAGAAGAGGTTTTACGGCGCTCGCAACAGCATAAGGTCATATGAGCGCCAGAAGATTAGAGGTGTTACAAGAGAGTAACAAACGTAAAAAAGAAGAAGAGGAGATAAAGACGACATATGTTAGATAGGAAAGAAGAAGCAAACCACACCAGAGCACCCGCCAACCACCCTCTCTCTCTCTCTCTCTCTCTCTCTCTCTCTCTCTCTCTCTCTCTCTCTCTCTCTCTCTCTCTCTCTCTCCTTCACCCCCCCCCTCCAAAAAAAAATGTATGCACACACCCACATACGTCTCGATTACGGCACACAGCAACTGGTTACAGAGCAGCATGAACAAAAGATACTGAAAGAAACAATACATTATGTCGTGTATTGGGAACATCGGAGATTACTGATTAAACTGGCCCAAAACAAATGAGTTTTTTAAAGTGTTGATTTGAATTTTGATAAAGCGGTCGCCTCCTGCAGATATTTTAGTAATACGTTCCAAAAAGTTGCTCTGTTGTGTATACAAATGTTATCGTCGTCGAGGAAGAAACAATAGATTGTAGAGTAATTTTGAAATCAGGCTTCTCCGGTTACTCCGTGACATGCTCTTGGGGTCGGCCATGTTACATGGTGATTGGTTTTGAAAGAACATGAGAAAAAAATTCAATTTAGGGCAGAAAAAAACAAACCAGCTCCTACAAAAAACCCGGCGAAGGCCAATTTGATAGTATAAAAAACAAATGGAAACACCCGCGGGATTTTAGGCGATTTGCAGTATCTGATTCTATTCCCTTAACCGGGTAATATGAGCCAGATTTGAAACAAGAATACGACTCCCCCCCCCCCCCTCTTTTTCCACCCACTCAATACGAAAATGAAGTATGTCACAATTAAGCGATGAATCCTTCATACTCTTTTGAGTCACGGCCTAGGCCTTCTCGTCACGGCTTATCAGCAATACGTCCGGGGTATCAGGAGATGCCGCAACAAAGTGCTGAACATAAAAGACATAAATAGACTGATAGTGATAGACTCATTTCTTTGCGCTCACTTCGTGAAAGATTTTCTCGCACACACTGTCCTAACTAGGCTACATTGTAACTAGGCACGCACCACGTCACCATAAAGCAGAGAACAAAACTTACCGTACTCTACAGTAACACGTGAGTCATAAGAAATATATTGTATATAAAAACTAAAATAATGGGTTTTTTTACAACATGCAGCTGTTTTTACGCCCCCATCGACACACTTTAGAAGGGGGGGGGGGGGGCTCTTGTGGCCTAGAGGTTAAGGTGTTGGCCTCTCACTCAAAGTCCCAGGTTCGAATCCGGGTAGCGACCGGAATTTTCTTCTCTAAAATTGTCTCCTTTCGCCTCCTTTCCTGCTCTCTAGCAACGTTCTGTTGTCTGCTTTCGTCTGCACTTTCTTCCCTCACCCCCCACACCTCCTTTGCCCCCTCCTCTGAGCTCCTGACTTTTTAAACTGCAACCTTCTCCTGCTGCTCCTTGGCTCCTTCTTACCGTTGTTTTTCAGCCACACCCCTGATCTTCTAGAAGGGAAGATCTACACCTGGCATTCTCGGACAAGGGCGAAAAATCTCGGAGGTTCCGTGTGCAAGTTCATGGGTCTCAACTCATAATTTTTAAAAAGGAGGAACTTTCCGCGTGATCGCGACAGAAGCCCATTTTCACGAGACACCCACTATTATTATACTGTTGGACCTTAAAATGTTGAAATAAAAACCATCAATTTATCAAAGCAAGGTTTTTTCATACCAGTTTGAGGGTTTGGAAGATAATTTCAAGTAAGAGCCACTTACCAAATATTTACAATCTTGATTACGTACAGAAAGTGGAGGCGCACTGTGGTCTTGTGCGACTTATATTTTATCTTCATCATATTCGCCTGCATATATAAACTATATAAAAATGAATCTTGTTTTGAGCCTGGGAAAAGGCCCAGACCCAGAATATCGACTGTCATGAAGCAGTCTGGGTGTAACGATTCATATAATAAACGTGAAAGACAAAATTAATGCTCAAACTGAAAGTAGAGTTATAACTTGAATAGCTCAAGTAAACCTATTCAGTGTGAGAGGAGTAAGAACTGTGGGAGGGTAACATGCAGTGACACTGAAAATCTGCGAATAAATATAGAGACATAATTTACTGTCACCCATCCTATGAAACGCGAACACTTAGGCCCCTGCCATTAATTCATTAACACGCTTACAAGTAGTTATGACGGATCCCGATTATACGCAAGACATGCACTAAAGCGCACTTTGCAGAGAGCTGTAGTGGTAATCAAAATTCTAAATATTAAAATTTGCTTCCAATTTCTTTTCCTTTTTTGTCCTCTGGTGTTGCGTCCAGCCCTCCCCCCATCCCCGAGTGTATCTTTTTTTTAAAAAACAACAACAACAACAACAAAGAGTACAAAATATTGCTGGCAAAATAATTACTAAAAACTAATGCATGATCATGTGACTCCTATTTTAAAAGCATTACACTGGCTCCCAGTGAAAGAGCGCATCATATATAAAATCTGTTTAACTTGCTACAAGTGCTTAAATGATTTATCACCGGACTATCTAAAACAGCTTTTAACACCCCATGTGCCTCCTAGAACGCTCAGATCATCAAGTGACAAAACAACCCTTGTTAAGCCTAAAATAAATTAAAATCATATGGCCAACGCTCTTTTTCATATTTTGCCCCACTGTTTGGAATAGGCTTCCAAAAACC